GCCGCCGTCGCCGCCGCCACCGCCGCTCGCGGGGAAGCTGGATCAGCGACTTTGGTATGCGTGGAATTTCGCCGCGGAGCACACGTTTGGAGAACGCGCGTTTCCACCTGGAGCGCCGCTCCCTCCTATTCTTCCTCCTCCTAGTCGCTGCTATTCGGCTGCCGATCTCGGTCGTCGTCCCCTAAAACTTCCTAAGATTTGTTGCCGTCGTGGTGTCTCGCGTTCGTTTGCGCGCTGCATCTTTCGCAGAGGACCACGGCGAATCCCGGCGCCATGGAGAAAGAAGAACGCGTGTAAGACGTCCCACGCATACCGATCTACCTGTTGATTCAGTGCAATTCAATGCGGCTGTCTCACGCGTACACATCGCTCTTCTCGACTCTCCTCTTTTCTCTTCCTCTCTCTCTTTTCCTCGCTCGCATACACTATTACAGCCGCCGTAAACACCTGGCGCCGCCGGTGAGGAACGCGAGAGCGAGCCTCACCTTAGGCGGCTTGTACAGCGGCTTCTTCGTCAGAGATTTTTTTTCCGGTTATTCTTCCTCCCGCGTACCGATCGCCTCGATACTACGAGAGCGCTGATGCAAGGCTCGGAAGACTTCGTTCCGTCGCATTCAATCCCGCACGGCGTCTCGCGGCATGCGCACGTGTATATGTAATTTTTAACAAGAATACAAATTTACAGATGAAGGATTTATTCATGTACTTACGAAAATACGGAGTAATAATTTTTGATGTGTAGACGAAATATAATATATACAAGCCTGTATATTGTAAAAATTGTTGTGCGTTGCCACTGGCCCTATGTACATAGCTTATAGTTGCCACATGATACTTGTATACTATATATACTTAACGTTATTCATTTGCGACTCTTACATTAAAATATAAATCATTAACGGTGTTCTAATTTTGTAGCGGCAGCGTTAAACAATTAAAGAATAATTTCGTTCTTGTAGTTTCTTGTAAGTTCCTTATGCGGTAGGACGATCGAGTTCAGTAGAATTTTTTCTGCAGCCAAGCTCACCCTGGTACCTGAAATGAGATATATAATTGCAATGTGTCGCTTATATATGTAGAAACGAAATAGATAAATAAAGACTTTCGGAATTATTATTCAAATATCTAATTTTGACCGTAATTAATCGTAGTTGATGTATTCATCTAAGTAGTCCTGTTCTAAACTTAAAAACTTCCAGTATTTGAAAATAAGAAAAAATAAAATAACGGCTATCACAGTAATTTGTGCGTAAATCTTTAACGTATACAACAAATGTAATAATTAAATATATTATACATTAAAAAATAACCTATAAATTATCGTGTTAATTCTTGATATTCTTTTTTTTTACTTTTTCTTATTATTTTTTTATAGAAACAGTTTTGATACATTTTATTTCTTTACCAAGTATCGTGATGGAAGGATTTAGTTTGCCATTGATGTTAAACAGCGGTAAATTCTCCATTTTTGCAAATGGTTTATTAGGATTGGGATCGCACGGAGTCCCCTCAACACGTGACCATTCACCTACGCTGGTGCCTGTTCCTATGATGCTGTGTAGAATAAGGGAATGGGCCTGAATGTGTGCCTTACCCAATATGATCGCCTCTCTAATTCTCACGCCAGGCTCTATCATCGTACTTGGTCCTATACTCACATTTGGACCTAGCTGTAAAGAATAGAAATTTCATGGTAACAGGGTAAATTTCCCAGTAGAAACATCAGCCAACAGTAACATAATATTAATGTTATATTTTCACATTCAACAATATAAATGTAATACCGAGTGATTAATTTTAATTTTAACAGATAAATATTTCGAAAATATGCAATTTTACAAAAAAACATTTTAGATAAAAATGGTATGATGTAGAGAGGGACGTTACTATTGTCACTCTTTATATGATTTTTATTTGGAATATTTTTGAGAAACTGCATATTTTCAAAATATTTGCACCTGTTAAGATTAAAATGATTCACCCTATATAATATATGTATAATAGTGTGTAGCATACAACAGTTTAGCCTAATTCACAATGCGCTTTTTACTTTCTGTTTCTTAATTTTTACTACTACTTTTTATCTCTCGCTTTTACCTTGTGTATATATATATATATATATATATTTTTTTTTTTTCCATTTTCTGTCGCCTGAACACAATAAAAGTTGACGAATTTTGGAAGAAATAAAAAACACGTGACATGCGAGACAATGGTCAATAAAATAAAAAGAAAAACAAGAGATGAGAAGTACGAAACAGGAAGCAAAGAGCACATTGTAGAGCACATTATTGTGTGAAACTACAACGTTGATGTTATGCTGTTATCTGGTGTTTACTGTATTGCGAACCATAGCAGAGAATAATTTATCTCTCGTACCACAGAAGTCGGATGTACAGAAGCCGATGGATGAATGTACACATCTCCTATAATATGACAATAATTCTTATTCGTAGAAGCGAGGCGGTCTGGCTGCTTCTGCTTGTAGAGGGCCAAGTAATGTCGATTGGCGTATATCGCAGAACCCGCAGTTTTCACTTGCGACCACCATCTGAACACAGGCAGGGCGAACAACCGGCCAGATCCCGCTAAACGCGTCAGTATGTCTTGCTCAAATGCAATATGCGCTGAATCTCTACCATTGCAACACAACTGCCTGCAGTCCCATAAGAAAATGTTGAAAAAAGGATGCTCATTCTTTTATAGCAAATTTGGTCATTTGCATTACACTAGATCAATGCAAACTAAAATGTGTTATACATGAAATTAATAAACCCAGTCAGCCAAGTCTGTCAAAAATAAATTTTGTCAAATATTTGCTACAAATTTTATTGATAAAAAGGCATCGCATTTAATAGAAATTCTGTTATATTCAACAATGTCAACAAATTGATGACAGATATACAAAGCTGCTGAGGCAATACAAAAACAAATTGTAAAATCAAGCCAAGTTTGCTGACAATCTAACAAGAAAATTGAAAACGAAAAATCGACCAAATGGCAGCAAAAATTGAACAAAACTTTGTTCAATTTTTGCTGCCATTTGTTGTCTGGATATGTGCACAGACTTTACCAGTAAAACATGAGCTTATTGCTGACACAGCTGGCATCGGGATTTTCATCGACTCTGAGAGAGTTGATTGATGCGACATTTTGCTATCAATTTGGTTATTGAATAAGTTGTGGTAAAAGTATATAAATATTTTAAACGATTAAATATCCAATAACTATAATATATTGTCACGTTATTATAGAATTATAGATATTATATTATGCTTCTGCATTTAAATATTTTGTATAAAAGAACAGTCTTTTTAATGTACAGTAATCCATTGTAGTGCGATTGACCAAATTTATCATTACTGTATTTAAAACGAGAAACTTACATTAAATGATCTTGTTGTTGATTAGCATGAAAGACATCCGCCATCGTTTGAAAAATTTCTGGAGATGCGAGATATATTCCGCAATTGATAAGAGTCGACACAAACGTTGAAGGTTTCTCTACGTAATGTGCTACCTCTCCCTCCTTTCCCAAAACCATGCATCCATAGTTCAATGATTGCTGCCGAGTTGCCTCAGTTGCCATGATTGTAAGCAGTGCCTGTTTACTGTTGTGGAACTCCACCATCTCTTGCAGAGGGAAGTCGGCACAGACGTCGCCGTTCATAACAAAAAAGTATGTGGGGCTGCCTGAACGAATCTGATCGCGGAAGTGATACATGCCACCTGCTGTTCCAAGGGGCGTGAATTCCTGTAAATACCGAATAACTATGCCATAAGTACTCGACATCTCCTGTACAAACTGAGCCAGATCATTTTTGGGATACGCCCCGATTATCAGCACTTCATTGAGACCGGGCACTTTGGTACAAGCTTCAATGTGATGTTGTATCATGGGTAATCCAGCCACTGGAAACAATGGTTTTGGGATGTCCAAGGATAGAGGTCTAAATCTAGTTCCTAAAAAATTACAAATGAAACAAGATAAAGTACAAAGATAAAGTGCATATAAAGAATTTATAAGTTTTTTAGCTCAACTTCTTAAATTGTTAATCTTTTCTCTTTTTCTCTCCAACGTAGAAGTTCAGTTAAAAAGAATAGTCCTTACATTAAAGTCTTAATAAAAAACAATTCTAAATGTATGTAATAAATATATGTACAAATTTATATACAAAGCCTCTACTGACAATGATGAAATAATCAAAATGTGACATAATCCAACAGCAATGTTGAAATTATGTACAAGATGTCAACAGGATCTTCAAATAAATGTAGTAAAAATGCATAATTATATATAAAATTAGATACGTGTATAAAATTTTGATATTAAGTTTGACAATTCTGCAGTTCTTGCTCTAGATAAATAAGTGATAATTAAATCAACACAAACCCTTTAAAGGTCCTCCGATTAAAATAACAGCCTTCAACATGATTGCACAAATCGAAGTTCCTTCTGATCGAATAATTCCAAAATATTTCTATATTCTCACAAGAAGTGTCAAGAGACAGCGATCATCCAAGTTCTCCGAGAGGGTGAGGGGAACCAACGCTAATCGCGCCGTGCAGACATGTTGTGTACACGTGTGGACGTGTCATCGGTGACGATATCAGTGAACAAGTTTCGATGAATCGACTTGAACGATAAAACGGGCAGTGTCCAAGAAATAACTTTAAAGAAACGGCTTTCCTCACTTGCCGAATTAATTCGAGCTGTCAACAGCAAATAATCGGCAGATGCTACCGCATACTAGAGGGGAATTCGCCGAGATATTCGAGACCAGGCACAACCCAACGGCGATGTTTGAAAACCACGTTAAAAGCGCCGGCGGCCGCTTCGAATATTGCACTCTTTACTTTACATTTTCTGTCTAATTGTTCTTTCAGTCGTTCACGCAAAACCGACTAGGTTTCTTCAATCTGTTCGAATTATGGCGATCAGCTGACATGGCAATGGTCCCGCGTAAAGTGATGATGGGACGTGGGACGTTCCATGAAGTTAGCGCCAATTTCCGAAACATTTGCCTCGCGTTTCATTTTTCTCATCCGAAAATCTAATTGACAACAAAGGACAACTCGATTAAACGCAGAAAAGGATGCAATCTACACTTGTTATGCTAAATTTATGGAAAATCTAGTTCGTCTTTCAACTAGAATTTATATCTCCTTACAAAAGCATTTTATTCAAATTGAGTGATCCCGATATTACTGCAATCCGCCAATCATCCATGGATCAAATAAATAGCAAGAGGGGAAGCAAGAAAAGCGTTTTCTATTTAAAGCTGCGTTCCATTTAACGCTCGCAACGCTCGCGAGCATTGTTTGTTTAACATTTGGTAAACGACAAAGACGAAATGATTCCACGAGCATTGTAAGCGTTAAATGGAACGCAGGCTTAGTGATACAAGTCGAACAAATTATTATTTTTTGGACATTCAGAGAGTAAGATGGAAAGACACTTGTATAATCGATTTTTTGTGTTACCGCAAGTGGAAAGCACCTATTATTTACATAAATTTAGCCAATATGTTGGTTAATTATAATTAAACTGCTTTCTTTTTAGGAGACATGATTGACATAAATATCGTTCTTATAAATATCTTTTTGATATTCCATAAATAACAAAGAAAAAACGATACTTATGTGTCGACGCCTAAAACTAAAGAAAGCAGCCATAGTTTATAAATATGTATAATATTAAAAATATATATTTTTTAAATGGAGTAAATATATATAAAGTATAATATAAAATAAATAATTATAATAATTATACATCTAATTTTAAGATAATAATAAATATTATATATAATAACATAACATTTAAGTTAAATTATCCAAACGTAAATTACCTTTTCAATATTTCATAATTCTTCATACACAAAATACAAAATTAGTATTATATAAAAATTATTTTTCAATTTATATATATATATTTATTAATTAATTGCATAACGTAAATATATAATTATTATGACTTGAAATTATCTGAGTAATTGTTAGTCTGTTACACCTTTTTAGTTACACTTCGAAAGTCTTCGTACAACAAAATCGTTAATTAATAATCGGCCAAAGTATAAGAAAATAAATCAAATTATAAAAATTAAGATCTATATTCACCTCATTTTTATCGATAAAATGCATTATGCATTAATTTTTCATATTCTATAGTATATGTAATAAATAACTATATGTTAAATGCGCCTATTTATCAATAAAAATTAAATATGATATGAACAGACCTAAAAATCTAAATCATTAGGTCTGTTCGTATTGCTTGAAATCCACAAAAATCTTTGCACTCAAAAATAATAAAAAACAGTGTACTCGTATTTTTAATAAAAAATGTATTTAAAAAATGCACTTTTTGCATTTAAAATGAGATAAAGTCTGTACTTTGTTTGCATTTTTTGCACTCAGTATCTGCGTATTCTCTCTTTTGCTCGAATCGGTTCGAATATGTGTTTATCACGTCTTAAGTACAAAAGTTTTTTTTTTTTGAGATTTCAAGAAACGCGAATAAATTAATTATATATTCAGGCGTTGCAGAGAGAGAGAAAGTAAAGTGACGCTGAGTGCAAAACGTACAAACAGACCTATTAATTATTGGTTCGGCTAATTCTGATTAAATTGATCGATAGGTCTGTTATTCTCTATGGCTGAACTCGTATACGTTTTGGAATTTAAAGTGAAATAGGTATATATGTTTTTTGATATTTGGCTTTCTCGTTTTCGCTAGAATTCTCTAGAGAGTTTTCCAGTGTCTATAATGCTGAAACAAAGAACAAGATGTCGATTGTGTATTTTAAACAAAGTTAACATTTAAAAAAAAAAGCAAATTCAGTAGGTATAGGCCAATCAAATTATAAATATTTTACTAAATTTGCTCGCTTTTGTCATTTTTATCTCGTTTCAAGCACACAATCGATCCCAATCGATCCCCAAATCTCATATAAATCGCCATGTGTTGACACACGCGTGTCGTTCAATAGCAGGGCGATGAGTGTACAGCGCTGTCAGTGCTGCCAACATTGTTGTCTAGGGTTACCTGATCTAGAGAATTGTTCGTCGCAAATAGTTTAGAAGAGAAGGGACGAATGAAATCGCGGAGCAAAGGGAAGGTTTTATCTTATTCCTTGCGCTCATACTAGAACCAACTGGAACTTTCTTCGTAGTTTTTGTTCCTTTCTTTTTTCCTTCCGACACCTAATTATACATATCCTTTTCATTTCAAGTGTAGGAAGTGCTACATGAGACAGCTGCCAAAGCAGATTTAGGAAAAGAAAAAGACGTCTCCATTGGAGAGCTAATTAAGATCTGTTCTTTTTAGTCCAACTTTTTGCATGGCTCATCATCTTTCTTTTTTTCTCTTTACCTTGAAAAAAAAGAACAAAAGATGAACGATGAAGAAATTCAGTTAATGCTCGCGTTTCTACTAATAATGTAGATTAAATCAAATATCGATTTAGTTAATTTTTCATCTTTTTCCAGTCCTACAATTAGAAAAAGACAAAGAATCAGTTGAAGACCGAGATTAAAATTAATCTACATTGGTGAAAACACAGGCATAAAAAGAACAGAGGCGTCGAATCTCGTATGTTTAGCGCGAAAGCTCGTCGACTCCCCCGCTGAATCGGGTATCATCGGCGAAGGGCGCCGGAGTCCGAACCGTCCGAACGTAGGAGGAAGAGGCGGAGAGGGGGGAAAGGGCGAGGAGGGCGCGTGCGATCAACTTCGGTTCGGTTCGGTGCGGCCGTGCGGTGCGTACTCCGCGTACTCGAGCGAGGGCCAGCGCAGCGCGCCGGTGGCAGCGTTAAAACGCTCGCGTTGCCGTCGTCGTCGCCGTCGCCGTCGCCGTCGCCGTCGCCGACGACGAGTTTGGGATTGGACTCTTGATCGTGACTTTTCGGTACGTCGACCTTGTAAAACGCCCGCGATAACAAGGGAAGTGCGAAAGGGAAAGTACGTGGCGAGATACATCGCGATATATCGTGCGTACGTAAAGTAACTAACAATAAAGTGCGTGCGTGCGTGCGCTGCGCTGCATCGCGCCGCGCGAGCTCGGTAAATTCGCATTCGGCTGAAAGAAGGAGGGAGTCAGCGACTGAATAGGTTCACGGCGGTAAAGGGGAGAGCGAGAGCGAGAGAAGAAACGAGTAGGAAGAGAAAGAGACGCAACGATCTTGTGGCGCGTTCGGGACGAAGCGCAACATCGCATCGGCAGTTTGTAGAGAGAAAGAGCGAGAGAGGAGACGGCCGAGAAGTTTGGAGCGGACGGACGGACGGACGGACAGACGGACGGAGACGAGACGTGACGGTGACGGTGACGTTACGTTGCGTTGCATTACGTTGAGAACGCGTCGCGGTGACCCGCCACCGTTGCCGCTCGTTCGCGCGTCGTCGTCGTCGTTCGTCGGACTGTCGGAGACATCGGAGTCGTGACTCGCGCAGCCCGCGGCTTCGACTCTCGAGAGGAGCGTTTGCCAGTTCGCAACTCGCCCCGCGTCCCCGTATGCTCCCTCCTCCCCAACGCATCGGGGACAATACACACGGATCGGGGTTGTCGCCGCCAGGGTTGTTACCGAGGCCGGAGCATTTTGACGTGCTGAACCACCTGCCAGAAAACATGGAAATATCCAAGAGCTTGCAAGAGGAGATCTTTGCTGTGCAACAGAAATTGCAGAAAGCGATATTCGAGCATCAGGTGAGAGAAAGAAAACGAGAGCGTGTGTGTGTGAGAGAGAGAGAGAGAGAGAGAGAGAGAGGAAGAAAAGGTCTTTTCGCGTTGCTTGAAATTACTCTTAAAATTTTTGCACTTAAAACGAGATAAATGTATGTATTTTGAACATTAAAAAGAAAGAAAACGAAGATTTTGAGTGTAAAAAGTGCAAGAAATAGCGAATAGACCTAAAGAGATTGCGATGCTGTGTGTGCGATAGTGATCGAAGAATGGTCGGGTCGTCGGGGGTTGAGAGGAGAGAAAGAAGGAGGCCTCCTCCTCCGCGCGACATACGCATATACATCTTTAAAGATCGGCGGGGAGGTTTTTAATTTTCTCCCCGCGCGTAATAAGGGAATTGAGGGATACATATATGAGAGCCGAGAGAGCGCCCGTCCCCTCTCCTTGACTTGAGTCGTGAAGTTCCCTCCGAGTTGATACGATGGATCGATCGATCGATTCGGGACAACTCGAACTCGATAGATCCACCGAGCGTCTTTTGCTACTAACTTGACTGCGCACGCGCGCGCGCGCGCACGTGAAGGGTTTTGAGGATCGGAAGGAAGTTTGCGAAGGGCGAGGAGGAAACCGAGTGCGAACTGCGAAAGTCGAAAGTTCCATTTATGGCCGAGCGTGTTGAGCTTCTCTCCCGCTCGGCGTCCCCGGGCGCCCTCTTTCCGTCTCTTTCCACCCATTTCTTTCTCTCTTTCTCCATCTCTCTCTTTTCCGTGCCTTACGCGCCTCATTCGCTCGTTTGTGGAAGCGGCCGAGAAATTCGTTGCGGGATCGAATTACCTATGTTTTCGCGAACGATATCTAATCGACGCGATATCTAAAACTATAACGCGAACTCTCCGCCGAGAACTTGTTGATCAGTTTTCCAGGTTGAGTCATAATAATAGTAATGATGGAATAAAGCGGAGTAATTTGGATAGATTAAAAAAATGAGATCGCATATTCAATCAAGTGTATTCAATCAAACATAAATATAATATTGTATAAAATTGTATAATGTAATAGTGTATAAAGCATACACTTTATTGCACTAGTAATTTTGTATGTTTAATTAAATACATTATGCGATTTCAAAATTTTTGTTAATTTATCCAAATTATCCCGTTTAAAAACCGCAGCACAGACTTGCACAACACATAACGCATAGTACATAGAGAATTAACCAAAGTTTCTCTTTTCTATGAAATGAAAGAAAAGGAAGGATTCTGATTGGTTAATTTTACTTATACAACTATGCATCATGAGTTAGGGAAAAGTTTGTGCTGTGGTCTTTACCTTATCATAGGACATCATCATGACTTCATAAGCCTGTTTTTGTTTGCTCTTTGAAGCTGAACTTCTTGTATAGTTCACCATGTTGGAGAAAAATGAGAAAGGATGAACTATGCGAGAAGTTGAGCAAAACCCCTACACTATATAAATTTGTAGCAACATTGTTGCAATGTGTGCAATTTTGTTGGAATATTGCAGTGTTGCTACAATATTGCTGAATTAATCTCCCAGACAATGTCTAGAAGATGTTTTTATGATGTCTTTTATGTATCTTTTAGACATGTCACCAAAAATATCTTTATGATGTCTTTATACCGTTTTTTAAGCTTATTTCTACCATAGTAGGTAATTTAATTTTAATCTCAATTCAACTAATTTTTCATCTTTTGCTAATTTTAAGACTTAGAAAAAGAAGAATGAAGAGTAAGTTAAACAGAGATTAAAGTTGTTCCGCACTGATGGAAACGGGCATTAGGCCTCGTTCCATCAAAGTAAGAGTAACTTTAATCTAGATTTAACTTTACTGCTTTTCAACAAGTGACATAGATAACAATGAATCATTACATCTTTGTTGCCAATGTTAAAGAAATCAATATTGCTTTTTGTTGGAAAGTATCAACTGTTTATCTTTTCCTAAGAATTTATCTTTTCCTTAGAATTAGAAAAAGATAAAAAGTAAATTGTTAATCTTACATTGATGGAACTAGGTCTTAGTCCTATTCTTTTTAGTTAAACTTCTTACACGGTTTACCTCTTTTCCCTTTTTTTCTCTGACGTGGGAAGAAAAGGAGAAAAGATAAACTTTGCAGAAGGTTTAACTCTGCAAAGAAATAGGCCTCTTATGAGTAATAAATAAGATCGTGATAACATCCTTATGATATCATTATGACTTTGGTGTTCTGTCTTTATAGTATTATTATGACCTGGGTTCGCACGGAAGACGAGAATCGACGAGATGGCCCTCCTTGAACGTCTCTGCGTGTCCCCTACCATCTTTATAAATATATCGATACCTTCGTGGATTCCTTTGTACCACCGCGCCGCGAGCGCACTCGCCAGGGATCGCTCGGCGAAGGTGACTCTTGCTCGCTCTCTCGATCGCTCGGCCATAAGCGCAAGTCTCGAGATCAATGTGGCATTATCGACATAATAGCCCAAGATCCCACCGCGAGTTTGTGCACCTATCGCGTATGCAGATGAAATGTAAAAAAAAATCGAAGTTCGTGTTGAGAGCAACCCTAAACCGCAAAGGTGCCTAAAAAAAAGTGTCAGGAATATATTCATTAATTACGACTTATGACTTACGAAAGAAGGAGCGAGTTTGTGCACTTATCGCGTATGCAGATGAAATGTAAAAGAAAATCGAAGTTCGTGTTGAGAGCAACACTAAACCGCAAGGGTGCCTAAAAAAAGTGGTCAGGAATATTATTAATTACGACTTACGACTCTTATGAGAGAAGGAGCGAGCGCGCGGCTTCGGACGGTGAACAAGGACGCAGCAACTGACGATTGAATAGGCCTGTTCTTTTTGGCTAAACTTTTGCACCAGTTTATCTTTCTTCCTTTTCTCTTCAGGAGGAAAGAAGAGGAAGAAAGATGAACCGGTGCAAAAGTTCAGCCAAAAAGAACAGGCCTAATGTGTGCGCGCGAGTTTGTGTTGTGACCGTCAGTTACTGCAGCATGCGTCCTTGTTAACCGCCCGGAGCCGCTCGCTCGCTCCTTCTCTCGTAAGTCGTAATTAATGATATTTCTGACCACTTTTTTTTGAGCACCCTTTGCGGTTTAGTGTTGCCCTCAACACGAACTTCGATTTTTTTTGTTTTACATTTCATCTACATACGCGATAGGTGCACAAACTCGCGGTGGGATCTCGTATACTATAAAGCCTTGCCTTTCGGTTTGGCAAGGATTGGGGAGAATTTCCTGATAATAATTTAATGTCGCGCTCATTGAAAGTCGAAATTGGGCGCAGTCTGTTCGATTCGCAAGGAGACGCTTCATGTCGGACAATCGATAAGTTGTGAATTATCCGGCCACGTTCCTCTCGTCGTTTTTCCGCCGAGAGGGATCTCCCTGTTGGCGCGGCGGTGCGCGACGCAGCCGCACGTTCGACAAACTTTCGCGTCAGTTTTCCTCAGCTTAACCCGGGAATAGTTACCGAGAGTGATTTTACACCTCAACAGCGAGAAAACAAAGATTAGTCACAGTAATTTTCCTTACTGATCGAAAATTTATGTACCTGTTGTTTTTTTGTCCACTTATTTTTGTAGAAAATGTTGAGTGTAAATATACATATACTGTTCTTAAATACTAATAAATTGTAGAACAATCAATATAATATGCAATTTTTATGCAATAAGAAATTTTATGCAATAATACGTAATTCTTAATTGTGATATAAAGATTACTTTAGATAATTATTTAAAAAATTAAATGATTATACTCCCGAATTAACAGTTCTTTGAACTTCTTCATGATCTTCTTCGAACATCCTGCACACAGAAAAAGTACTGTATTCAAATATTTACTCATTCCAAGTATTTCAAAAGTTTATATATCTTCATAAATCTATTATAAGTTCATCGCAAGCATCAAAATTTATTCAAAATATATTTTGAATTTTAGTAAGTTTAATCAAGATTATTGAATGAAAACGATTTGCTTATTATATATCTGTTTCTACCAATGTAGATTAACTTTAATCTCGATTTAATTTATCTTTCATCTTTATCTCATTCTTAAAACTAAAAAAAGATGAATAGTTAGTTGAATCCGAGATAAACCAAGATAAAATTAAACTACATTCGTAGAAACGGGTATAAGTCGCTTCTTCGATAAAATTTTATATTCTTTGAAAAAAAAACAAATTCTTGTTTTGAATACATGTTTTGAATAATGTTTTTCTACAATTAGTAATAAGTATGTTCGAAAACTATCAAGAAAATATTCTTTGTTAATGATAACCGTTACTTAAAAGAAAAAAGGGAAACTAAGTAACTTTTTAATTTTTCTTGGCAGTAGAATGATACTTTTTTCTATGTATGTAGATCCTGTAAAGAGGATAAAATGGTTATACACGGGACGCATCGATAGGAGACAATAGTTGCTATTTCACCGAACGCGATTTATGTAACCAAAGTTCGCGTATATCGTGGTGGGGACGACAGGTGCAAGTCGATACTTGCGCCGACAAGCTTCCCGGAGTCGTCGAGTCCATACTTGATTTACTTTTACCTCGAGAACGTTGACAAGGTCGTTCTCTCAGTTCTCTGTGACTTTTGTTCGCGCCGTAGCGAGACGAATTTTGCCGAGTTTGTGTGCCTCGCGGAACTGACAAACTACTGGTCGATAATCGAGTCGTGTCGAGAAATAAAAAGAATTGTCTTCCTGCGCGCCAGAAGAAGAAGGATAAAAGTCACATTGATACCCTGAGAAAAATGTCAGGTTGAATTAATTGGAATTCTGGTTGGAAATAGATGAATCAGAATTTTCTGGTTCGTCTATTTTTAATCATTTTTCTCAATGTAAGCAAAATTCTGTTTTTATTCTCGATGAAATTACTGTTACAATTTGTAATTATTAAGATTAAAACAAGACCATTTTTATATGAATTTACTACCATTTTCCGTGAAAGAATAATAATTACTAGCTCTTTATTTAATATCGATATATTTGGAAATAATATGTATATAAAGCTTTAGACAATGAGTTATGTCGTATATTTCAAGATTATTTACCTTAAGTTTATACGAATTTTTTCATGCAGACAATATAAGCATCGTAAAATATATAAATTATTATAAATTGGTAACACAATAATACAGAAAAAAGTAATTAAATTTATGATTGTTAATATGTCTGACTTTAGTGACTTTTGTTGATAAATAAAAATATATATATAAGCGAGATTGAAGCTTTAGTGCAGTCTAGTGCAATGATAAAGAACATAAACTTCGATAATTCATAGATTGTTTACATAGATAATATGTAAAATATTGTTTACATAGTTTACATTGTATACACGTAAATGTAAATTATTATATTATATTCTGTTTTTATATTTATAACTATAATCATATTATCGTATGTTTGTTACACACTATTTCTGATAGGTTGAAATTTATTATTCTCTGTTCCTATTGCCTTTGCTTTTCAGTTGTATTCTATACTGTATTGTTCTTAATTATATGATTATATAATATTATACAATAAAAGGCACATGTGTATTCTTGTATGCAATTAAAAATAATGTTCATGTAAACAAATGTTAATTCTGAATATTTGGGTTGTAAAAATTGCTTTTTATGTATAAAAGTTAATTAAAAATATAATACGCGTAATTACAAGAATCGTACAATAATTAAGATATTACAAGAATCGTGCAATAATTAAAATATTACATTGTAAAAAATAAAATGTTAATTTTAACTTAAAAACATTTAGTGGACTTTATGAGACATGCAAAAATGTCGAAATTAACATTTTTGTGTTAATTTTAACATTTTTGCATGTCTCAGAAAGTCTACTAAACGTCTTTAAGTTAAAATTAATACTTTATTTTTTACAGTGTATTCGTGTTAATTTTAAATAATAATATTCACATTGTAAGGATTACTTCCTGGAAATACGAGGAAAGTTAATTGTGAATATAATATATATATATATAATTTAGAATCATATTAGAATATATATACAGGGTGTCTCGCAATATTTTGCCAAGCTTTTGTGTAGATAAAGCGGACTAAATTAAGTCGAAAAGTCCTCTATTATTTTGCAATTTTCCCATTGTTTAACGAGATATTAATTACTAAAAATTGCCGAATTATTGGTCTTCAATAATTTTTTACTTAAATACTATTAACTTTACAGAAAAACAAGAGACAAAAATTGTTTATTTTCTTCTCATAGAGCTCTAAGAATTTTTTCAGGACTTTTTTGATCAATTTTTTAGTACTGCATTTTCTTATATTAGCAACTATTTTTACCAACATGAGAAAATACGGTATTCAAAAATTCAGAAAAAATTCTCAAAACTCTATGAGAAAAAAATAAGCAATTTTTGTCCTTTGCTGTTTTTCTATAAAGTTGAGTATTTGAATAAAAAAATGATTAAAAACCAATATTCAGCGATTTTTAATAATTAATATCTCGTTAATTATTGCGAAAATTACAAAATGGTAAAGGACTTTTCGACCGAGTTTAGTCCGCTCTATTTACATAAGAGCGCTTGGAAAAAAGTTGCGAGACACCCTGTATATATTTTATATAATAACTAATATGTGTGTTAGTACTTAGAGTATTTAAATCGCTTCCCGAAACGGCATTACGAAGAAGTTAAATGCGAATCGCGACGAGTTAACGAGATGTTAAATATGAGATAATTTGCATCTTTATTAATTAATAGGAGTATTAACAAGGTAAGAAAGAGAGGGAGAGAACGTAATGGCGTAATGGCGCATCGTGTTCCAGTTGGCCGTATACATTGGCATACTTCTGCTAAATTATTTATCTCCCTCTCGATCCTGCATTATGTCCTACATAATAGAACTGCAACGTATCATGTTTTTCTTAGCTATGATTGATGCAACTTTTTTGTTAAATTACAGATGTACGTGGAAAAGTTGAAGGATGACCCAAATGTAAGTATTATATCGTTACATTATCTATGTGATATCATTACACGGCGATACATTGTTATTTAATTACATTAATTATATGATAATGTTTTATATTATCTTTTTAGAATATGAAACTTTGCTGTTTTCGCTCTACATTTTAATACATTAATACTAGAAGTACTGAATAGTCCCAGAGGTAGCAAACTATTGTCACTTTAACATTAAAATGATGTCTTTAATATCAAAATAACGTCAGCTTATTACCTGGGATTCAATTTTTATTTTTTGGGTTAATATTTTATTTTTTGTGTAAAAAAAATTCTGAAATTTTTTGACTTTTTAATAATTATATCTTTTACTGATGAAGTATACAATTTTTCATCACTTTTTTAATTTTTACAGTAATTCATTTATTTAGTCTTTAGTAAGTAAGAAATGTTGGTACTTTTTTTCTTCTAGTGCTAAAGTTAAACGTCTAATTTTATGGAACATAAACATGTAACGCCATGTTAAATAAGTTAGTTTACAAAAAAAATTTCTTTAATTATTTTGATTCAGGCAAATGTGTTTCTTATATATTTTTTGGATGTCGAAAATGATGCCACAAGTCACATTTCACTAGCGCGTCAGGTTTCCGAAATAATTGAGATTTAATATGGAAAAAATTTTTTGCCGTATTTATTTATAAAAGATGTCAACGATATCTTGAAATTCCGATTAGAAATCATGAATGTATTGTTTATCCCTTATAAAATGCATGTTTTATTTCAATATCTTATTTTTTAGATTGTTTTGAAAAATTTAAATATAGAGTTTTTTTAAGATAAAATATTCCTAAGCTTTTCGACTTTTAATATGGCCATTTTCAGTAAAAAACTATAATACACACATTAATTTAAATCACAAATATCGAGTATCGCTTTTTATAGCTTATTACATAAATTGTAATTATCTTTTCGTATACGTGTTTACTATAATACATTCAAATGTCAAAATTATATATAAAATTCTCTAATACATATTCACAATTAAATATTTGAATATGTATATTGAAGAATTTTATATATAACTTTGTCATTTGGATGTAATTATGAGGAACGAGTATACACGGAGAAGATAATTACAATTTATTTAACTAAAAAGCGATGCTCGATATTTGTGATTTAAATTAATGTATGTATTATATGCTTTTCATTGAGGATGATCATTTTAAAGGCCGAAATGTTTGAATCTTTGATAATATTTTATGTCGTTGACATTGTTTTATTAGCGAATGGCATCCGGTTTGGCTCGAATAGCTTTTTATCATAAGTTTATTTGAATTTTAAAGTCATACACTTATATAATTCCTAGTTTGTGAATATCAATACACAGTGTAATTTATCGTTTATTATTGCATTAAAGTTATATGTACATATATGCACACGGGTTGTCTTATTTTAATTGCTTATCTCGAATACCTTGAAAAAATTACTTAAAAAAATGTTATATACAAAAGTTGTATGGTCTGTATATATCGAAAGCCACAAACTAGACATTGTAAACCTAACCAATATAACTTCATCGTCATAAGCAGAAAATTTGCCATCTTAGAAAAACCTCTGATAAAAACCTATATTTAAATCCTTTATGGTTAAAAAATAAAATATTGAAATTTAAAACATGCATTTTATAGAGAATAAACAATTCATGACTTCTAATTAAAATTTCGGGACAATGAAAAAAATGTCAAATATGAATATCGAAAAAGCCATTAAATTTTAATTATTTTGGAAATCTGACATGTTGGAATTTTTTAGTTTGTGGCATCATTTTCAGCATTGAAAAATCTGTAAGAAACCTAGTCCGGTCCAAAGTAATTTTTTATTGTAACTTTTTAGTGTAATTTTGGCATTCCGGGTTTGCGATTTGATATGATTTATTTCTAATTATGATGAGATTTGAGATTCAGAGAACAGTCGATACAATGAAACTTTACGTGAGTCTGTGCTATATTTCTGGAATCTCATAAGTTACGCTGCGCACAACTTTGGCCAGACATTTCGTCTCGCGACAATTAGTGCGTGATGTTGTTTATGTATATTATGGGAAACTTTTCTGTTATACATGTTTAAAATCCAATTATTAATTCGGTTTAATTTTAGCGATTGCTTAAAAAACAAAATCCTTGACATGTAACTTCATTATATCGAATGACTTCTTATTGACGATTTTAAGTCAATTTTTTATAATTGAACCATTTATTTGTTTTGCATTATCGACAATAATACCCAATAAACGTATTAATATATACACAATTATTCCGCGCAATATTCCACTAAGACTTCGATGCACGCAAATCGCCCAAATTTCGATGATTGCGTGATTCCAAAATGAATGTGTTTGAATTCGATATATGATCACAATGCGTCTTGTTACAGAATTCAGACATTCTCGGGCAAATAAAAAAGATTCAGGTACACATCGTCTCTCTGGGAAGATGCCAGGTAAGCGCGGACAATTGATTTTCTTTCATGTTGCATGCACGTAGTGATTCACGATGTATCTATACTATGACTTTTCTCAAGTTCCTATTATGAGACCCTGCAATTTCGTAATCAATCTCTTGACCGGTCGATCATGCAATTTTGAACGTGAAAATGCGTCCAAAGTTAAATGAGTTTGTAAGAATGATTGTGTCTTAAAAACTAATAATTCCTTTTCTTTATATACGTATTTTTGTATACAAAGTGACACAAATCAAAAATTTACATTAGGGTGGCACAGTTCGAATTTTTAAAATTCATGACATAGTTTTAACCCTTTGCGGATCGGTGACCCCATTTGAGTCACCCTCCTTTATTTTGTAAGCTATTCGCTCAATATGAAACTTGATCTATGATAATTTAATAATGCTTTATTCGAGTGAAGTAAAAAATATAAAATTCAAACTATTGGATTTAATATGGGGGACAGAATTTGAAAAAGATAATTTAATTAACATAACACTCGGTTTTAGGAAGTTTTTAATTGCGAGATACAAGATCAAGTTTCTAGTTTTTCTTTATTTATGCTACATAAACAGTTAATATTAATTTCCAAGCTGGCTTCCAAATGATTTCTCTGATTATGAACTCTGTGATCCTCTTTCATAGAGATTACTACCCTTTGATATTCGATATTTTTAGGACATTTAAACACAGAGGTACCAAGAACCTAAAATCGATTTTCACGATAATCAGATTATTTTTTTATTTTAGGATTCCCCCAAACCAGAATCGAATTCAACGACCTCGAAAATCTTTAGAAAGCACAATCTTCCACAAGTTACTTTATTAGAAAGCTCCAGTCCTCAAAAAGTCTATGAGTACACTGTTTCTTACTTCAAAAGTAACATAACTAAAAAAATTAAGTTTTTTAAAAAAGAAGAAAAACTTTTTTAACTTAACAGAAAATTATTAATTAATTAATATCAGCAAAAGAATATACTTTTAGAAACATGATCAAATCCTTAAAAAAATTCCCTTTTTGAACTGTGTTGATTTTGATATGCTGTAAAAACAGATTCGGAATAACTCATCAAAAGTGATATAATTCAAAGTATCACAACTGTTATATATATATATTTACCTCAATCAGTTAGAATGAATAAATTTAAAATAAAACAATTTTTTCTTCAAACTTGGATCACTAAAACTAACTCTAAATGTTTTCTGTAGAAGACCATTTTATATTTACAAAAACAACATAATTCAAAATGTGTCACTTTTGTAAAAGATATTATGATGTCTTCGAAAACTTTAAAAACGTTATAAGAGTTATTTAACTGATGGACTGTAAAGTTAAGTTAGTATATTCTCTATGATTGATAAAGTAATCTTTACCTAACTTTTAACTTATTTATAACTAGTAATAACTCGAAAATTATATTTTTAAAAAATTATGTCACTTTTGAAGTAAAAAACAACTTGTAATTGAATACATATTGATTAATTGAAAATATAACATGAAAGGAAAAATTATGAATATTTACTATTCCAATTAAAATATTATTTCAATTCAGAATTTAAAAAATGCTTCATTGTTATTTTTCAGGTATGTTATTTCTATCGATATGTTAACTATAAAAATCCTATAGAAAAATTATATAGTTTTGTACAAGTTGTTAGTATCGATCAGAGCTATTATTGATCCGCAATGTGGGCTGCTGCAAAAACTTTGGCATGCTTTGCTTAACTTTTGCAAAGTACGAGTTTTATCATGCCGCAGTATCACTTGCGTGGTACTGACTGTAAAACGGTTAAATATATCGATCATGTATTACATGAACTTTGTTACGGCGAGTTACGAAAGTCCTAATGAAAAAGGAGGGCGTGAATAAAATTTGTTAACTTTATTATTCCAAGATTAAGTGTGTGTGAGCGAGATGGTGATACCATTCTTGTACACATAGCTATGTTCTTTTCTAATCCAACGTTCTCTTGCCTTCGACGGTATTGATAACAAGCGAGATAAATAATCGGGATGTAATGGACAGGAGATAGATACGGGGATGATACGCAGAGGCTGCGAGAGTAGGAAAGCGTGATGCAAACGCGGGGCAAGGGGTTGAGCGGACGAGAGAGGGAGACAATCCAGAAAGAAGAAGCGAGAGCGACTATGTGAGCGCAGGAGAGATGCCCGGGAGCAGAGAGACGGAGCGGTTCAAAATCAATAAAATGTCCTGTGAAAACGTTTTCGGCTCTTTATAAAATCTCCACGTCCTTTTTCATCCGTTTATGTCCCCTTGCTCAACTCCTCACCTCGCTCTCGCAGCTTCGAGAACATTTTTCTCGTTTATATATTCTCCAAGCCATTTTTTCCAACAGTTATCCGTTTCTCATTTACTTTAAAAGTGCTGGAAACTTTCTTGAGCTTTGCGAAAGTTAACTTTTGAATATATAGATATATATAGAATAAATACGTCCTTGCTTCACAATCTTAATCACGCAACTGTGTTAACATTCTATTTTGTCCCACCTTTTATAACATTTACATTTATTTGTTATATGTTTGTATTTTTATATAAAAGCATAACAATTGTTCGAATCTTTGTACATGTGTTACGCTTTGCTAAAACGGAGTTAATATGCCTGGTTCATCGCTTGTGTAAACCGTTTCGAGTCTAATGTCCACGATGCTAGAAATCGGTCCAAAACCTCGGATGAAGAAAGAATTGACTAATCGCATTGGTCATGTGATTAAATTGTTTAAATGTGATTCGTTAATTCTTTCTGTGTTCGAGATCTCGTACCGATTTCTAGCATCGTAGATATCGGGCTTAAGGATCTCTTTTAGAAATCACCGACATTAAGTAACACTACGATGCGCTATATATATCTCTCTGCTTGTTATAACAGAAGCAGATCGTGCAGCGGCTGCGCAAAGAGGTGGACGCGTTCAAGGCAGACAACGCGAACGGATCGAAAGTTTCCGTACCATTTCTCCTCGGACTGAACAACAACAATCACATTACGAACAATAATGAAACGAAGCATGAAGCGACCGCTAATGGTTTTGGGACGAAACCTTCGAAGGAGAACTATGAAAAAGTTGTTAGAAATGGCGATGTTCATCATTCGCACTCACGAGATAACGATTGTGCGAAGTAAGCTTGTGTATCTTAAAGAAACAGTAAATTGATTAAGAAGTCCCCATTTAATCCTTCGTTATTTTGCGAGGAGTGTCTAGGATACTCCCGTCTTATAAATTCCCTAAATGCATGAATGCTATTTATATATATTATTGTATTTAGCGCAAATTGTTTTACAGATTGTATCTTACAAAAAAGTTGTATTTATCTTTATCTAAAAAATGTAATATTATCAATCTTTATTAATTGGAACTCTGATGAAAATTTTCTTCACCAATTTTCATATAATTTTTTAAAATTTTTATATAACTTTCAGAATTTTTTAATAACTTTAGAAAATTTCTCAAGTTTTTTAATACAAATTAGAACACTTTTTACAAGTTTTGAATAAAGTTTACATCTTTTCTATAATTTTTCTATATGAAATTTTAAGATTTCTAATTTTATAATTTCTGATAAAAAATCTTATAAAATCTAAAAAAAAATTTTTTTTTTTATAAATTATAGAAATCTTAGAATATTTCAGAATTCTCACGTATGTGAAACATTTTAAGATGTAGATTTCAGTATTTCTTAAGTGTTTCAATTTGTATGAAAATTCTGAGAAAATTTTCACCAAGGAAATATCATAGAGAACAATAAAAATCGAGATATATAGTGTTGGAGTGTGAAAAACAGTCGAATAATATAGAATTAATTATGATAGATTGAAATTCGTTTAGGATCATACAAAGTTATTTTATATGAAAATCCATCGTTGAAATATGTGTAACAAAGATTTTGGAATTTTTTAAATTGAAAGTTTCTTTACAGATTACGTCCCAACTCGGTGGAAACTGTTTCTGGCGAGGACGACGTCGTTGAGGTGCTGTTGGACGAAAATTCTGATATCACGCAAGAAAATGTGCAAAAGAAGGAGATACAAATCAAGGAGGTGCAAATGAAGGACGCGCAAAAGAAAGAAATACAACAGGAGAAGGTGCAAAAGGAGGTACAAATGAAGGAGGAGCAAATGAAAGAGGTGCAAATGAAGGAAGTGCATATGAAGGAGGTGCAACAGGAGGAAATGCAAAAGGAAGTGCAAAAAGAGGAGGTGCAAAAGAAGGAAGTGCGAAAGGAAGAAATACAAAAGGAGGAAATGCAAAAGATGGAGGTACAAAAGGAGGAAGTGCAAATGAAGGAGGTGCAAACAAAGGAGGTACTAATGAAGGAGGTGCAAAAGGAAGAGGTGCAAAAGGAAGAGGTGCAAAAGAAGGAAATGCAAAAGGAACACACTGAATTCACACATTCGGCCGAAAAGTGTTACTACTTAAATTGCCTCGGGCTTATTACCAAATCCAAATTCATCGAGCTGCAAAATAGGAGAGTGGAAAGAAAACGTCGTAGCACGGCGAATCCGCATTTTGTATACTCTATGCTCGAGCAACCATCCGTAAGTAATATATGTTAATGCTTTAGTTTATTTATATACATTTTTGTACGTAAAATATGGATTTCCGAAATGGAACCATTCAATCTTATATATCTTTCAACTTTCTAATTATCTTATAAAATTGAGGCACACATAGGACAAGACTCGGGATCAAATCCAGAACTCATTGACAATTAATTAACCACTCTTAAAGCGGCTTTAGACGACATTATGGTGGAAGTAATATTACTTCCACCATGGACGACATGGCCAATGTACATTAATATTGAGCAATGTGACATTGACTGTTATGTTGTTGATTAAAATCAATGTTGACGTTTGTTACGAAGGTCATATTAAAGAAAAAAAATATTAGCCTTTTACGTTGACCAATTTCGATTAAATTCAATATAATGTATTTTTTGCAATATAATATTATATACATATATATTATATACATTATATACATATAACGTAAAATAATAAAAGTATTATTTTTTATTTAAAAAAAAATATGTGAAATCTATGATCGGTATTCATAGTCGGTTCTTATTTCAAGACCGTCTTAAGTAATGTCTAGACGCTAATGTAGCTCTCTGATTGGTTCAAGACGCGCGATCTTGAACATAAGAACTGACTATGAATATCGGCCATAAGCCGACGTTCTCAATTGGAGTAATAACCTAATTCTTGAATTTGTAAATTTATATAAGAAATTTCCTGAAATTTGAGATTCACAAGATATCTAAAATACAAAAATCCTAATGATGTTATGATGTTTGAATTAATATTCAAACAGAGCTCAACGCAGATTATTTAATCGAGATTTTAGAAAAGAAAAAAATAATCTTTAATGACAGCGCGCGCGCGCGCCCGCTGCCGCGCATATAGAATTAAAAAAAAACTTCAATTTAAAGATTATCATTCATCTCATTTTGTGTCGCTTTTTTCTTTTTTATCAATATATAAAAATTGTGCACAAGAAATAACTGTAGCAGTTCTTGCGACAGTCAAAATTATCTCTTCCTCACTGTCCAGTATTGACCCAGCATTGATTTCTAGTGTATTCGCGAATATTGATGTGAATTGGACGTATCATTTGGAGTCGCCTTTATGAAGCCATACATCATCTCCATCCATTTATTTATACATATAAATACTTACTTTGAACACTAGACTATTATATAGCATGGTTTTTGCGGAAATATAACACACAAAGATAAATTGAGCTATCTATGTATTTAAAAAGTAAATTTAAGACGCTTTGGATGGGTTCCTTTTCTACAATTTGACATCATACTGTCGAGTCTTATTTAACTTATATTTTGACGTATGTATTTTAGAAACGAAGGAGGTATTCCTATTTATCTGGAAATCCACCTCACACCCGGCAGACGACTGCACGTATGAACGATCCGTCGTCACCACTTAACAAAACTCAGCCAACCAAACCTACCTCGCCACCGGCACAAACGAAGCCGTTGGTCCCAGTCCAAAAATCTACTACCAGGCCAAATATCCTCAGAAACGCGGAGAGCAAAGTCTTCGTGAATAAAAGTAAAGTAGAAGACGATCAAACGCGATTGTCCGTATCTAGTGCCAAATCTGTTCAGTCGGTAGGTAGCAAGGCTGTTCACATACCCGGATTACCGTCTAGCTTGACCATCGAAAGGATAGGGAGTGACTCTATCGTGTGCATCTGTTGTGAAAATCCAGGTGAATAAAAATATGACAAACGTTAAAAAATATGATAAAATATGTTAGAAATATATTGTTAGAAATATATTGTTGATTTCCTTACAATTTTATTAAAAAGTTCTGCAAATACATACATGCATATATATTTAATACACGATTTTGTTAATTTTTAGGTTCATTAACGACATGCAAGAATTGCTCAAGTAACTATCACGTTTCGTGTCATACTCGACCAGCGCCTCCATCTAGGACCTGTCCAAAATGTGTTTCAGCAATAAAGGAGGAAGAAAACATCGAAAAGGATGAAGAAGAGGAGGAACAACTGGAAGGCGAGAACAGATTTCATTACAAAAAGGACGAAAAATTCGGTAAATCGTCCTCGATTTCTTGAAAGAAGAAATCCTCCTCTTTTTTAATAGCACTAAGCGTGTGATTGACAAAAAAGTTCTTATTCCTACAACTTTAGTTGTGAAAAGTTCGCGGTAGGCTTATCTCATTTTGCGGCAGTAAGTCGGCCGGGAATTATTGATTTTCCGATTATAAAGGAAAACTGGCAATTTTTTTGCTGCCTTTTCAATTAGTAAATTGTAGAGTAACGGCGAGAAGTGATATTGGTCGAGATGAAATCATGAAGGACCGGTAAATCGGCGCAAAGCACATTATTTTAAATAAATACAGGAATTTGTATAACATGAGTCCATAACTTCTAGATTTAACATACAACGAGGTATCGCAGCGTTGCCGCAGACTTAATTGAGCGTAAGCACGCACGCACTGAATAAACGAGAGAGGCAACCTGCCGGAAGAAGTGTCCGCGTGTGAGACCGGCTTCTCGATTACGGCCGAAGAATTTGCAATTAAGAAGAACTTTTTGGTCGATCGTCCACGATAGGGCAAAAAAAAAACAACCTGTATATTGAACGCAAAATATCTTGCAGAGGAAAAAGAGAGAGAAAGATATGACCTGCTCGAGCGAAACTCGGATCTGAGATTGCAGGTTTACGAGTTGGAAAAACGCTCACAACTACTCGGCCAGTCATTCCAGGTTCGTCCTGTGGCCTGTATAGAGACAAATTATAAAGTTCACTTTTATTTGGAATGCTCTTGAGTTAATCGAATATTGTAAATTGTGATTTTCGTCCTTTTGTTTCTTCATCCAAAAGAACCTGCAAGATCTCTGCGTTTTTTCGTTATATTTTTTTCTATTCATACGGGGGCAAGTCGATTCTGTTGTCCAAGATATGTCTGTAAATATGAAAAATGATCTCAAGAATGTTTATTGCGTAATTATATATATATATATATATATATATATATATAATGTATATGTATATGTATGTATATACACATACATATACACAATTAATATTTTGCCGTTTCACAATATATTCTTAGATGCACTAATTTGATTAAGAATCGACTTGGATATTTGATTTTATTGATCATTCTTTTCATGAATATTAGGCAACTTCATTTCTTAAATCATACATTTCTTTGCGCTTTAATGATCTAGATGTGATAGTTTGCTCACTGCATTGGTAAAAATATAGAGCGCCAGATTGTGTTCAAATATAATTTCCACTTTGTTTTAATATTATTGATAATAGATAGGAATATTATATGTAATATATTTAGATTTGTTTACCGATTATGCAAAAATATCATTTTCAAAGATCATTTAAAGATTATATGTATGTTATTGTATATAAAATATTAAATTTCGAAAATTTTATTAAAATGCTTTTAGGGTACTAGAAGAATTTCTCGAGACTCTCTCTAGAAATTATCTAGCCTGTAGCCAATAAACACGTTTGAAAAGTTGATCATACGACAAATGAAATAGTATCCTAAGAGCGATATGTGTCATATGCATGTGTGATATTTTTGTATTATTTTTTATTTAATGATAACATAGTTGTTTTCTAGATGTTCATACATTTCAATATTTACCTTGCCAAAAAAATTACAGAAAAAAGAGCCAATTATATATGTGCACATAAATTAATCTTTTTGTGATTGTGACATGCTATTGAAATTGACATAAAGAAAAATATTACCTTTTTTGTGGAAAATTTAAAAGTGCGTTTAAACTTTATTGCATCGTATGAATTAATCTTTACAAATCGACGATTATTACAGTCATGTGGTTTTTTATCATATGGTTTTTGTCACGTAATTTTTAAAAAATCTGTCATGTTTTTTTCGAACTAGATCATATGTAAACTAGGAATACATTATTAGCTATTTCTATGTTAGAACTATGTAATACATCTTAGTAATTTATTAGCTCGCACACATGCGACATAGACGGAAAAACGCACGTAGACTTAAGAAATAATAAATAGAATGCATGACATTAAACATTTCTATTATTTAGCTCTTTTTTTATAGCGAAAATTTTTGGCAAGTTAATTATAGTTTTCGTATAATGAATATACGATAAAAGTTACTATAATGGTAAGCTATTCTGAGGTATGTTCTGATTCCCACTTGGGCGCTCTTCAAGTGTCATGTCATCCTTGTTTAATCATCCGGTATACAACAAGAATGACATGGCATCTAGGGAGTACCCAAATGGAAATCCGAACATGCCTCTAGATGGAAACATATGCAAATACCCATCTTCAATTTTTATATAATTTGTTTTTGTAGCTTAAAAAACTTTTTATTTATTTAAAATGGTTTGAAACAATTTTCTCCAAATTAAATTTTTAATTTCAAGTAAATAATATCGAAAATGTGAAATATATGTATAATGTCCATTTCTACCAATGTAGATTAATTCTAATCTTGATTTAACTTACTCTTTACTCTTTTTTAATTCTTAAAACTAGAAAACGATAAAAAAAGTAATCAAGATTGCAGTTAATTTACATTAGTAAAAACGAACATAAAAGTTTCTTTTATCAACTTTTGGTTAAGTTAATCGAAAATTAACTTACAGAAGTGTTAATAACAGTTCAATGAATCAGAATTTCTCCTCTCTCTTCCTTTTCTGAGACAAACTCCTCTGAGCACCTATCATGGAACAAGTTGGAATAGATTCTGATCAGAATTATTTCGTTTTCTCTAGAAAACACAATAGAAATCTAGGGAATAATTCTGATCGAAATCCATTTCGAATAATTCCATAATACGTATGGAATCTGTGTTCAGTTTTCACGTTGGAAATTGTAATGATTGAGTTAATCACAGGGTTGGGAAGTAACTAGTTACTTGTAACTAAGTTATAGTTACTTTTTTCAGTAATTGTAACTTAATTTAGTTTCTTTTTTTCATCTGTAACTTAACTTAGTTATATTTCTTCCAATAACTAGTAATTAATTTACTAACAGTTAGGGGCTCCGCACAATAAAAGGAACAGAGAATAAGAGAATTTCAACCTAACAGAAATCATGTATTGTGGAATATACAGTTTCTGATAGGTTGAAATTCTTATTCTCTATTCTCTGTTCCTTGTTCCTTTTATTGTGCGGAGCCCCTTACTTTTACAGTTACTTTACATTTTAAACTTATTTGTCAATTTAATGTAATTGGTTAAAATCTGAATACTGATTAAGGCTACGGTCCACTTGATGCTACAAATGCTTCGAAGTATTTTTTGATTGGTCAGTAAATTGTAAACGTAAATTATTTTTTTCTTTGGTAGTCCTAATGGATGTTACTCATATTGTTCTGTCATGATAACAGAAAAGTAACTGAAAAATAACTGAAGTTACTTTTTTAGTAAATGTAATTATAACAAGTTAATTTTGAGTTTCGGTAACTTAGAACTGTAATTAGTTACTTTTGAAAGAAAAAAAAACTGTAACTGTAACTAGTTATTTTTACAAAGTAACTTTTCCAACCCTGGTTAATCACCAATTAGTGTTAATCGGAGTTGATGAAAGAGAGAGAGAGGTCCTAAATATTTCACAGACATACGAGCTGTATCTTATACTTATTTTGCATTTAGATTTTTTAAAGATGTCTTATTTTTCACACAAGATATTTCTGTACACACTGTTTTAATTGTTTTTAAAATTTTAAATTTTGCAAAACTAAAAAAATGTTTAATGATTAGTAACAATATTATTGATTTTATGAAATTACATTTACTTCTTATGCAAATGTGAAGCCTACGTGTTAAACAACTTTCTTTTCGTTACAATTCGTCATTTATAATATATATATTTAACGATAAAATTGAAGAGGATATTTGCATACATTTTCTTGTTAGTAGCAAAAACTCATGCTACATCTGAAGCTCTTTCTCAGTAAAATATTAAAAATATTTATGTCTTCTTTGCAATAGCTACAACAGCGAATGCATCAGGATTTATTGGGCAAACAAGAGAAGACTCAGAAATCTATAAAGCGTCTGGTGGACTTTATAAAGTTGATGCAACTCAGAACAAACACGTCCTCCCCACTGTCTTCGGCGTCAACCAGCTGCCTGCCTCAACCTTCCTCATCCCAATCACCACCAACAATATCTCCGCCACAAACGTCAACCAATCAGAAGACAACAAATTCTTTGATACTGAATACCGAGTACAAGACACCACACATCGTAACCATCACGTCATCAGTCATCACTCACGACCAAGCATCACCTACGTCCAAGAAGACCAGGTGTCCCACTCCTACCAATTGCCTAGTACCATCCAGCCAGAAAAGCATCAATCATACCTCATCGTCAAGAAAATCGCCGAGTCGACTGGAAGGTCCAATCAGTCTCCTGGCAGTGAAACCGAAGACCAAAATCACTCCGCAGTTTTCAACTACCAATTGCCGACCAGTTGCAGCACTACCATTCAGAGCGCTGTGCTCCAACCCGTCGTCACCCATTCCTTGTTCTACGATCGTGACAACAATAAGAAACAAACCAATCGTGCAATCCCACTCCATGTCACCATATCAAAATTGTCAAATTCTCTTCACTCCATCTCAAACGACCATCAGCTGGACCGAGCAACCCTCAATGGTAGGAAGCCCTGGGCCAAACTTACACGCGGCAAACTCTGTGTTAATCAGTCAGCCAGATCAGCCACAGAAATCCTACTGTCTTCTTACGGCGACCCCGAGATTAATATCACCGAGCAGCAACGGCCAAGATCAACTGGATCTGCGGAGAAAGCTACAGCAACGGCGAATCTCGGTCGTGAGAAGTACCGATCAAGAAATTTCATCCACTCACTGTTCCCAGGCCATAATAAGTCCCATACCGTCACCAGTCGTGCACGTGAGTCACGAAGCCCAAACGACCGAGACTGTCCGCTCCTGCGACAGCAGCTCTGCCGTGAAGAACATGAATTGGAGCTACACGAGCAATCAAACAGCAAGCCAGCAGCAGTCCAGCTCCAGCGGCGCGCTCTCACACGATTCTTCGAGCACGTGAAATTGGAAGAAGCGCATATATCAGCGCCATTTAGAACAAAGCTAGCACACAAGAATGAGATCAGTGATAATGACGACGACGAAATTGCCCGAGAGGACAGTCCGTTCGACGAACAGTACGATAACGATGGTGCCGTTACTGAAGCTCCACTATTGACGTCATGCGACGTTTTGGATGAGGATCGTTTGATCATTCCCGTTCCTTGGCTAGCCGCTGACTCAAAAAACGCCTGTGATGACATCGTCGCGAATAAGGTACCCGTTCGTCGTCTTTCGGACGCAGCCTTGACGCAATCTAACGATTATGCCGACTACGAACTCGTTCGTATTAACTCGCGATCGTCGGTAATACGACATTCGGCGAAACCCGAAGACGATCGATCAACAATAGCGGCACTGCGCATTGCACAAAGTAATCTTTCGGAGCTTTGTAACGAGGTCTCAGTTCCTGACGATAAGGCTGACACCGAGAGACAAGACTTATCCAGTGGTAGGCAATTGAGAAGCAGAAGTAATAGCAGCAGTAGCAGCAGCAGCAGTAATAGCAGCAGCAGCAACAACAGCAATAGCAGCAGCAGTGGTCATAGCGACACCCCAGAGCAAGCGATGAACGTGAATGATCTCTCGGACGATTTTAACATTCTGGCTCAGATGGGCTTCGTTTCTCCGGGGGGAAAGGACGAGGAGCTAGTCGGCGATGAGTCGGCGACGGAGAGTGAGACTGATGCCGCCACTGATTAGACATAGTTAGGATAATTATATTGACGTTAGGGCTCCTGGTTCTATGTTGAAGTTTGAGCATGATTCAATAGCGAGAACCAAGCGAAATTTTTTCTTGCACTATATGAAGTTTATTAATTCCTTCATCTATCATCACTCATATCAATAATATAAATTAGCACACATATATTCTAAGAACTTTTTGTTCTACACCTTCAGCGAAAATTAATTTTTTTCGACAATTGAGAGACCATGATTTATTAATCCTTCGATTAAAAAAATATATAAAATATATACATATATTATTAATTTATGCTATTGAATGTTGGCAATACGAGAAAGAATAAAGATAAATTAATACTGCAAGAGAAAAACACAAGCCTTAACATTGTCAATCGTGCTCATCGTTACTCCTAATTGCGCTTGGAAACTTACGATCTCTCGACGGCGCGTTCGCAGTTTTTTTTTTTGCAGAAGAAAGCGGTGCGCAGGTCAATCGTCGAATCATAGCAATTATATCAGTATACGATCGCATTTTACCTAGAGATATTTTAATGATAGTTCAGCGATATCCTGGAAATTTTTATGCGAAGCGTTAGCGATCGCACTTCCTTATATCGCGGCCTACGACGCGTAAGGTGAAGATATCGTTGCTATAATTGTATTAATCAGTTTTCCTTTTCGGATAGTTTTGAAACTTGCTCGATGATTTTGTACGATCGAAATATTAAAATAAATGATAGTCTTTCCCCGATTCCGTAACAATATAACGATATTGATATTGTTGTTAAGAGTTACAGAATCGGAGTACAAGTACTTTTCATAAAGCTGATTTTTTCTCATATTGAATGTCAAAACGCAAAGAGGAAAATGCGTTATTGTGAGGTATTCCTTTCGTAATAGAATTTATTTACTTAGTATGTATCCATAGAAGAGTGCGTCCGAAATTGTGGAGTAACCAGGAAAGGAAATCACTAGTTTCATTTGTATCATATGTTTGTATACATTGGATGACGTTAAGACGATTTCTCTCGGTTCGACAGTTTTGTCTTGCCTAAGTTGATCGTAAATTGCAAGCAAGACGAATAGTAGAAAATAATGCAATTGTTTATAGATACGAATAGAAATCAATTGATTCATAGAATATATGACGGAATCTAAGCCGGGTCAAGCGAATTTTCCAAGTCGAATCTCGGAAACAGTTTCATTTCTGCATTCACTCGCTTTTGAGAGAGTCCCTCATCCGTTTGCGCACCACAATCTCTGAAGGAATCTCGCATATCCCCGGCTAGATAAAGCACATATCCGCGAGACGTCGCGCGATTACATCTCGAGAGAGAAGGGCACGGAAGGAAGCCTAACTATTACGTAAATCAAGTCACATTACCATACTGCCTTAATAGTAATGTAAAGTGGTACTTTATAAAAAACGGCTATCGTTGATTATGCACCCCGGTGAAAAAATGCGGATCTCATATGCATCTGCAATTGACGGCCGGCGATCGGAGAATGAGAGCAATCTCATTGTAGTAATACGATTAATCAAATTCTCGTTACCATAATCGAAAGCGTTTAGATATTAAGAGCCATCGTCTATAAGTTCCATAAAACGGCGAGCGATAAAACCGATCGTCATATTTCTCACGAAAGTTGTATCCTTGCCGAAGGTAGTTTGTGAAGAGAAAAAAAAATTGTGTGTATATGTGTATACGTATGTATGTGTATGTATGTATGTATGTATGCATGTATGAGTGAGTGTATTCGTAAACAATTAAATGATGTTTCGTCGATGCGAACTTCGACGATATTTGACGTTATGATGATTTTAATTTGTTTATAATTGTTTTTCCGTCTGGGGATAAAGAGCAGATCTGTGATCTCTTGCACCCAGACAGCATAAGTTATAAAGACGTCTTTTATAGATACGAAATATCTTTTAAATACGAATATATAAAAATATTTAAGGCCAGTAGTCATCGTCGGTTCTTATATTTAAGATCATCTTAAGTACAATTTTAAAATGTCGTAGGCCAATCATAGAGTTGCATTAGCACCTTAAGACTTAAGATCTTAAAATAAGAATACCGGCCTAAAAGATGTCATAAAGATGTTTTTTAGACATGCGTGCTGTCTGGGCAGCATTTTGTATGCAAGAAGGGCCGAGATGAATTATTCGAAAAATATAATTACTTTTGCAAGAAACATCGATGATGTTAGTATTATTTTTTTTTTTCGAGATTGATTACGCAAACCGATTTATTCGTTTATTTATTTTGTGTTAACGTTGGTATTCGTCGGGTGTTAACCCGCCAGCTTGCCCGTCATTTTTTTAATATACTTAATGTATAAGAGAAATTTGAAGAAAGGTGAAGAAAAAGAAATGTTACATACAGCGTAGGCAACGAGATATTAAGATCGAGAGATTCGTATTTTTTATGAAATAAAAGACAACTTAAGTAACATGATGTGGATATGTTTGCCGTGATCCTCGACCTACCCCGAACTGTTTCCACCAAACGCGAAGAACTTTCTCGTTAATAAATATAACGTAATAGTAACATTACATAAATTTTCTATTCAATAATAAGTGCTTTCCATCTAGGCTGCATTCAGCAGAAAAAACTGATCAGTTAGCGTTTACCGATTCGTTAATATGATTGGTTTCTACACTTAGATCTAGCAAAGAATTAAAGGCAAGAACCAATCATATTAAAGAATTACTAAGCACTAACTGATTAGTTTTTTCTGAACGTAGTCAATGACACAAGTCGATGCAAACGTCGTTCTATCTTTTTTTGTATGTCATGAATAAACAAAACGATGTTTGTGTCGACTTGTGTTATTAAATAAAAATCATCCAATGCTCAATGTAACAAGGGTTGTCGTTCACGCGCGTAAAATATAATTTCACGTAAAATGTACATCTACGTGTATACAATGTAAGCTATATAAACTATGTTTTACGTGTCTATGTAAACAATCTATGAATCATCGAAGTATCTATGTTCATTATCGTTGCATCAAATTGAAGTTTCTATTTCGATTTATATATTTTTATTTATCAGTAAAATCAGATGTATTGACAATCATAAAACTTGATTACTTCTCTTTGAATTGTATTATCCAGTTCATAATAATTTATATATTTTACATTGTATTGTCTTCGTGAAAAAGATTTATGTAAATTTAACATAAACAATGTATAAATATTCCATATAATTTTGAAATAACCAGCTTAAATTATAAATTAAATTTCGGCAACCCGAAATATAACTGTATAATGTATATTACTGTAAAATGAGATAACTTGGATTCAATTTTTTAATTTCCTGACAGCACGCATATCAAAATTGGGACATAAGACGTCTTCAAAACGTCTTAAGAGATGTTTTTAAAATTTGGATCAATTAAAGAGACGTTTTTTTTAATTTGGGCCAAAAAGTTACCCTATTTTACAATATATTATATATTTACATTTATGTTATTAAGTAGGAAGTTATAATACAGCCTTGGCCAAAAATATTTTAAGATTTTATTAATCATTTCAAGTTTTAGCTCAAAAATCGATTTAAGGCATTTGCTGTAAATTATCCTTTGTTTCAAGAACCTTTTAAACTTACGTATAATACCGGTAGCCAATAAACAACAGTAAAAGAGAGAGAATTCCAGAGATGAATGAAAAAGATATAAGTAATAAATGGATGATAAATGAATAAAATAATCCAATATTTTTGACAAAGGCTATATTATGTAATGTTACCGTTACTCAGTGTTTAACGAGTCGTTTCGCGCATAGATCATGCCGAGATTTTGCATCACGCTCACTTCGCTTTTCGCAATAGCGGATTTTCGAAGCGCGCTCGGTGCGGTGTTTCCGTTGAATCGTAGATGAGTTCCCGCTGAAAAAAATGAATGAACTGCGGCGACGCGAGGGAGAGGAGCGGTGGAGTTACCGACTTGGACAAACAATCGGCTAATGACATGTAAATATGGCGGAGCTAATCAAGCGGCTGTGCCAACAGGCCACGGGAAGAGACGCCGCGACCCGCTTCGCTCGCTCGCTCGCTCGCACGCTTGCAACATAGGGTGGAAGGGACGGAAGAGGGTGTCCGCGATATACCCCGATGCTGCGATGCAGCAATGTATTTGCAAGCCCGACCTGCGCACATGCGTCGCGCGCGCTGTAGCAACGCGCGCGTACATATTTAATGGTTGCACGTTAATTGCGCTCTGTTTGCCCATTCCCCATTCTACGCTCCATCTACACGTCCACCCACATTCTCTTCACCCTTTCCGTGCCCGCAATTCTCCTTTGTTAGCGTGCGCCGCGCCGCGCCGCGCCGCCGCGCGTTCGATTTTAATCAATTCACCTCGGGCACCTACTACAGCTGGTTCACGCTCGAGATCCCACGGAAACCTACTTTTGGTGGCGCATCATCGGACGCAGCCATTTCCGAGAGCCGCGTTTACGTTGAACGTTACGGTAACGCAGATTTTCCGCGCCTCGCCTGTCCGGTGAATGTCGTGTAATCGCGGGGGAGGGTTATTTTCGATCGTCCAGTTATTTTTGGTTTGGGACAGCGCGACGCGACGGGAAAGTGACTGAGGAACGGGGAGAAACTGTTGTCCCCGGAAAATACATATGAAATAAGTTTTGCTGAAATATGTAAATATTAGGTCTTGCGGATACATAATGACTTTGTTGAAATCTAATTAAATAATTATATTGAACTCAAGCTGGTAGAATGTCAAAATCTTTTGTTACTTTATCATAGTTTTTGAGTCTTCTACGTAGTTATCTTGATGGTCCAACATAATTATTTTCAGATTTGTATCTATCTAAATTTTTAGATTTTTTTTAGCAAAATCGGTTTTTTCGTGTACTGATCTGGAAATAATTATGTTGAATTATCTAAATGATTATATTAGACGCTTAAGCTGATAGGAATATTAAAACCTTTTGCTGCATTATCTTAATTTTTTATCTTCGTAATTATCTTGATGGTCCAATTTAATTATTTTCAGATCTATATCGGTCTAAACGAAAAGAATAATTTTGCTGAAATATCTACAAATTTAGATACAGTTAGATTCAGATCTGAAAATAATTTTGTTGGTCCATCAAAATAATTAAGAATCTCAAGCATGATGAGTAATGCTACAAAAAAATTTTCACATTTTATCAATTTGAGCATTCTACATAATTATTTTGACGGTTTAATACAACTATTTTCAGATATAAGATC